TAAAACTATCTATTTTACATTTAACATCATCACTTGATTAGACACCGGAGGTGTTGAAACAAAATGGCTATTTTTGTAGTGATTATATAACATATTTATGTTAGAATTTTTTGATAAATATATATATATATATATATATATATATATATATATATATATATATGCAGTTATATATAAATAAGCTGAATATATATAATATGTATATTTATATATATATATGTATAGATATGTGTGTGTGTGTGTGTGTGTGTGTGTGTGTGTGTGTGTGTGTGTGTGTGTGTGTCTACTAATTGCATATCAAATACCTAATTTCTGGAAATTTAGATTGGGACCGTCTCAGATTTTGATGAAATTTTAGTATGTTGTACCCACCTTTGAGAAAATAAAATTTCTGAAATTTAATATTTCTTAGAGAATTAGATCAAGAATTATGGTCTCTTGAAAACTAGAGTAAATTTTAGCTGATTTCAAAATAGCACGATTTGCCAAACTTGACACCTTGTATCCTTGCATTCTAAGAAGATGCCATATTGATATTCAGTAAACTTATACAGGGTGTGAATACTCAGGGTTTTATTTTATATCTATTTCCTGTTGCTCTATAGTTATAGGCTACTAAACATAGTGAAAATGGCGATAGACCCAATGACGACATTATTATGACAAATCCAACACTTTTTTTCTCATCTCAAATCAAACCGACTACGACAAACATTCTTCGCGACAACCGTAAATTACTACAAGCCTTCTCAAGAGACAGATTAATAAACTGATTTCGGCTGACAATGCAGAGATCGGAGCTTCAAACTCCGCAAACATGTGGGTGAGTAGTACTATGGAACGAGAAAGCACGCAAACCGAACACTCCGCTAGCCACATGATCTCACAGATCCCAACTCCTTTATATCCTTAAATCAACTGACACTTCCATACTTACCTAGTAAATATAGCATTAATCCAACGGCATATTATTCTAACCGAATAACGACATGATAACCTCACTTGAATGTTTAATCACTAATGCCCCAAAGAACCCATAAATCTAGTCCTGAAAGATGTCTACAATCACACTTTCTTCCCACCTTCTAAAATAAAACCAATGATTCTGCGAAAACTTCTATTTTCACAAGTAACTTTTTACGACCATGATGGGAAAACTTATGCACAAATTGACGGCGTGGCCATAGGTCCGTCTCTTGGATCGACTCTAATTTCTACATGTATCATATTGAAAACAAAGTCTTCAGTAATTCCACCACGCCTCTCATGTACGTACGATATCTTGAGAACATCTTCATATTACCAAACGTCTTAGAAAAATAAAACAGTAAATGAAACTTTTGAGAATAACTGCGTTTCAGTTTACTTATGAACTAAATATTAACAATAAAATGAATTTATCTATTCGTGAGAATTTTACCAGCTCTTTATACAAAAATCACTAACAAAACCTCGTATTTACCGAAATATACTCACAGATACAACATAGCTGTTATAAAAAACATGATCATATAGCCAAAAGTAACCACTTCTTCTGACTTAGTCTGCTATAAGGTACTTAGCAACATTAAATAAACTTCTAATCGACAATAACTTCCATAAGTACATCGTGAACGAAAAATTAAAATTAGCCTTAACAAAATTTAGAAAAAATTCTTTCAGGAACCCTCCCTGACGCAAACAAAAACAAGAAAACCATTAACTTTTTTCTATCATAACCAAATGCGCCCTAATTATGAAAAAGCGTGTAAAAACACAATTCACTGCCTGATGCTCAAATCTCCGACAGCGCCCCTCTGCTCCTGCTTGGTATCACACCATCCGCTTACCTGAGATGGAACAAATACGTTGAATCTATAACTTCATCTACCGCGAGTTGGTTCTATGTGTCGCACCAGAAAGATTTTTCTCGGCCCGAGTTCATCCTTCAAATCTATAAATCGTGCCCTTGCATGGAATACTGCCCTTGCATGGAATACTGCCGCCGTATATGATCTGGAGCCCTGCTGTTTGTCTTCGCCTCGACGAAATCGAAAGACGGATATGCCGTGATCTGGTATCTCTTTTACAGTTGCACTCTCACAAGCGTGTCGTCGTGTCCCTCTGTCTTTTTAAAAAAAAAAATTTTCACGGTAACTGCTCCGAGGAGCTACTTTCACTTATAAAACTTTTCAGCATGAATTTAAAAACAGCTACTATGTTGACATCTTTCCAACCATTTCACTGTCAAACGGTTAAATACAATTGTCTAGATATCCGGATTGTTTCGTGCCTCGCACTTCCTGTCTGGGGAACTCCCTTCCCCTTACTTGCTTCCCTGGTAGCTAAAATCTCCAAATATTCAAATCCAATGTCAATCGACATATCCTTTCCTCTTGTAACGCCTGAACTCTTTTTTTTCTCCCGTAACCCCTACGATATTTTGCTAGTGGCACTCCTTTGTTGCTTAAATGAAATGCTTATATATATATATATATATATATATATATTCAACGATTATAACAACAAATTATTTTAATCGGCTATTATAAAAAGTATAAAATTTAATTATTACCTACAACAATTTCGTTAATATCCGCATATATATAAAAATATTATATTTAAGTATTCTTATGACTTCTACGAGAGTGAATCTCCAACATTAATACTCCCAAAACAGTATTAAATACATACATTGGGTACAAATGCACCACAGTCGCATATTGAATTGGGTTCCGAAACTGATATAAGTCGTTTCCTACATGTTAAACACATAATAAAAGACCAAAGTACATCTACCAAAGAAAATATTAGTGGATAATAGCAAAATATTCCAGAGTACCCAATATAAGGAAAAACCAAAACACTAAATGCTATTATAATACAAAATAAAATTAAATAAAGATACCATCCACCACTCAACGGTATGTTGAAGTGCATATCATGTATAAGTAATGTGTTAGGATATATTATATAAGAAAATATAAATATATATATATATATATATATATATATATATATATATATATAGAGAGAGAGAGAGAGAAAAGGTAGTGAGCCATACGAACCTAACTAGGAATAAATCTTAGGTGAAACCTGGGAAATTTTTTGGCTCAAAAACACATCTAGGTTATATACGATTGTATTGAGCTGTTTTGTTGAAACTAGTTGTTTACTCGTGTCGGTTTTTTTTTTTTTGGGCTTTAAACCTGTATCTGTGCGATTTTTTTCGACAGACTTTCAAGTTTCTAGCTCTTTCTTTTATTTAAAATCTTTTTTAAAACCTTTTTTCCCTCGATTGATTTGATTATTGGCAAATCAAAAATTCGAATTTTTTTTTGAAACAGTATATTAAAAATATATATATATATATATATATATATATATATATATATATATATATATATATATATATATGAAAATATATATATATATAATGTTCATTTATTTATAATCTATATTTAATATAGTGATATTTATTTATGATATAAAAATTTTTACAGAGAAGAATTAAAAACTTTCTTACTTACAATGATTTTCAGTGTTTTTTCTTAAAAAATAATTTGTTGTTTTCTTTTTAAGCTAAAATTTTTTCCATCAAAAAGTTCAAACCTATAATTAATTCATTGCATAAATGGAGTATTGCTGCCATATATGGTCTGGCGCCCTTCTGTTTGCCTCAAGGTTCTTGATAGGCTCATAAACGGATATGTAATATGGTTGGCCCTGATCTGGCGTCTCGTCTACAGTCCCTTTCTCAAGACGCATATATATATCCCTCTGTCTGTTCTACAAATACTTTCATGGAAATTGCTCCGAGGAGCTGCATTCGCTGGTTCCCAGACTTCATGAGTTCAAGCGCCCTACGAGGCTGGCATCCCGCTCTCACCCGTTCACTGTCCAAACTCCTAAATGTAGCCGTCTCTTCTACTCTAATAGCTTCATGTCTCGCACCTCTCGCCTGTGGAACTCTCTTCCATATTCCTGTTTCCCTGAGAGTTATAATCTCCAGCTATTCAAGTGTAATGTCAATCGACATCTCCAGTTGCCTTAATCTATCTACTACCCTCATCCTTTCTTCTATCACTCCTATCTGATCTTCCTATTTTCTGTAACCCCTTGCGTCCTAGTGGCTTCCCGCCTTGCCTGGGGTGAAATGCTTAAAAAAAAAAAAAATAGATTCTAACAATGTCTCCTTAGCATAAACGACATACATAGCCCGTTACTCCCCTTGATTTTCATTTTCTTCCTTGATACAAAACATAAGCATCAACACGTGGAGATAGAAACAGTTCAAAACTTTTTTGGAAAAGCTAAGCGAAATTGGTATTTTTTTTTAAAGGAAAGCAACAAATTTATGGTAAATATGTGGATATGTATGTATATGTGGGCGTATGTGTACCTGTAGATATTTTTGGACATATGAGTGCATATGTGTGGTTAAATATGGATATAATTGTATATGTGTAATAGTGGATATATAGGCATACTTTTGGGTATGTCTATGTGTTGATATATATGGGTATATATGTTTATATGAGAATATATAAGAATCTGAGTGCGTATGTGTATGGATGGATATATATGGATATATGAATGTGCGGGGATGGATATATACGGATATATATGCGTGTGTGCGGAGATATATGCATATATTGTTGACATTTTGAAACAGCGATAGTGGGGTATGTGTGTCCCTGTGTGTGTCCGTGTAGGGGGGGGCGAGAGTGGGAGATTCGAGGCTTTATCCCTATTGACTGTCTGGTATTCCAAACAAATAAACATTATTTCTGTCTTCTGCTGAGAAAATAACTGCCCACAAGGACAATATTCACGGGTGGACATTACATTGATGACTTCCGGAATGATGCGAGTGGCTGTAAGGAAGGTCGACCCGAATTTCAAAAATTCATGAGCTTAGAGAACCTAATTATATGCCGATCGAAAATAGCGGACATGTTTTGTGGCTTGGCCAGTAATGATTGTGTTTTGTAACAACTAAAAAGCAGCAACGAATATTGTTAGAGGAACGGATTTGAATAATTTGTCGTGTGCCAGCTGTTAGATAGATAGATAGATAGATAATGAACAGACTGCGATAGATATGAACAGACTGAGATAGATAGATAGATAGATAGATAGATAGATAGATAGATAGATAGATAATGAACAGACTGAGATAGATATGAATAGACTGAGATAGATATGAACAGACTGAGATAGATAGATAGATAGATAGATAGATAGATAGATAGATAGATAGATAGATAGATATGAACACACTGAGATAGATCGATATGAACAGATTGAGATAGATAGATAGATAGATAGATAGATAGATAGATAGAGAGAAAGAGAGAGACTGTAAAGAAAGAGATATAGAGATGGGTTGGGGGAAAATTAATTATGTAGAATATGTCAGCGATAGATAGATAATCGATAGATAGATAGATAGATAGATAGATAGATAGATAGAGAAAGAGATAGATAGATAGATAGATAGATAGATAGATAGATAGATAGATAGATATGAAATGAAAGGAAATTACAGTGATAGATAGATAGATAGATAGATAGATAGATAGATAGATAGATAGATAGAAAAAGAAAAGAAAAGAAAGAAAGAAAGATAGAAAGAGAAAAAGAAAAAAGAAAGAAAAATCTCTGTCGTCAATTTTGACGATACTGACTTTAATTAAGTTTTCCATTGTGTGTCCTTATATTTTGCCTTATTTGAACTTTTATGTTTTATGGATACATGTTTGTTTTTGTTTGTTTTTTTAAAGATCAGAATGAATTACAACAGTGCATTCAAGTGCCTTAATTTGTCCTCCAAACACGAAAGTTGAACAAAGTAATTTCTAAGGAACTAATGGATTTAAATTTAAATTTTAAGTCATTATTACCTATATCCTGAAATTATAATTTATTTTCGTCTGTGAGTTTCTCTAAAAGGGTGACACAGTTTCGAAGCCTTGCAGATGGTACATTATTATTATGACTCTAGAATGTATAGACCAATATATTGTAATATATATTGTCATCAAGATGGAAGGCTACGAGGATCGTTCAGAATAACGCGCCCGTTCATACTACTCAGATTGTGGTATCTGGACCCTTGCTAACCTATCCCCCTTACTCACCAGACATAGCTCCATCTAACTTCTTCCTGTTTCCTAAATTCAAATTCCACCTGAGTACTGACTATTTTGGAAACAATGATCATATCTTGTGTTGTGGAGAGGCTTTTGGAGTCCCAGGACGCCATCTTCTTCCCCGATGGGATTGCAAGGCATAAGCATCGTTAAACTAATGTAAGGGAGACTATATTGTAAAGTAGCGAAAAACTATCTTGTTTCTCAAACTCCTTCTAGGTGAGACTTAGAACATAACATCCGTATTTTATTATTCGGAGGTTCACCTATGTATATGTTTCATATATGTAATTTCAAATTAATATTTTATATTTTAATGTCAGGACAGGAAGTACTGAATCTTCATTGTGTTTTCTTTACTATCTGTGGATTGCTATGCATTCTTTAAAATGGTAGTGAAATGATTACTTATTGGCTTCTCTACGGTTTAGTATTCAGATAAATCTACTGCCAGACATGTTTCCAACCAAACCTAGAGAGATTGTTTAATTGCAATGTCCTTTTCCAGATCTCACCGGTCTTGAATCTACACATATACCTGCGTTTTGTTGGTTTAAGTAACTTTTGAGGTACGCCTATCACTGTTCGTCTTTTACCCTGGCACGCTATGCATTCACTTTTTCTAATATATCTAAATTGGTATGAATGTTTTTTTTAGATAGGGAAGTAGTTTTCCTTTGCCTTCTCGAAGATTTGCATTTTCATATTTTACTTTCTCAACCAAGCCTGGAGAGCCTAATCTACTTTACTATTTAAAGAACCATGTCCCTTTCCATATCTAACGGATTTGGGGTTAACCATATCTGCCTGTGTTTTGTTAGTCATAGTATCTTTCGAACCACGCCGATCCATTTTTGGCCTTGATCAGTGGGCCTCTAGACATTCTTTCTTTTCTAATATCCCGATATAATTATAATTTTGTTCAATGACATTCAAGTGGTTTACTGTAAGCTTCACTAGTCTTTAAAATTCACACTTTTTCTTTCTCTCAGATTTTTATCTATCTATTTATTTAGTTAGGTATGTTTTTATCTATCTATCAATGTATTTTTCTATCTATCTCATTCTATTCATATCTATCAGACTTCTCATGACTCTCCGTTCCTATCTATCTATCTATCTATCTATCTATCTATCTATCTATCTATCTATCTATCTATCTATGCCATTCTGTTCATATATAATTGTCTCTTCATCTCTCTACTGTTTGTGTCAGTTTCTTTCCATCTATCTATCTATTTAATTAAGTATGTTTTTTATCTATCTATCTATCTATCTATCTCTCTCTCTCTCTCTCTCTCTGTATATATATATATATATATATATATATATATATATATATATATAAATATTTAATTCTGTTCATATCTATCAGAATCTTGGTTTATTTCCTATCTATCTATATATTTATCACATTGTGTTCATATATATCCGTCTCTTCATCTCTTCTCTATATAACTCAGTTTTTGTCTATCCATTTATATATCTATCCCATTCTTTTCATATCTGTTTTTCATGTTTTTCCTTCTATTTTCTATCCCTCCCTCCTCCTTTTCTATCTATCTATCTATCTATCTATCTATCTATCTATCTATCTTTCTATCTATCGTTGCCGAGTAACTGGGATATTTAAACTTTAGGGAATTTGGTACTTAATGAGTACTATACAGTTGTTGACTTGTGCCATAAGCACGAAATAAGAATAAAGAGTTTAATAAAGAAAAACAGAATGTCATAGATAGATAGATAGATAGATAGATAGATAGATAGATAGATAGATGTCACAAGAGAAAACGTCGTCGATATAGCAGCGACAAATAATTAGGCATAATCCGTAGGCATAATTCCCACTTTCTACTTCACAACTGTCCACCGAAGAAACATTGAAAAGTATGCACTGATTCACTTTATGCCATAAAATTCCTTATTGCATTAGACATGCGGGATATTTAACTATCCACATCTTTTGCGTCGTTGGGATCGAAAACAATTTTAAAGAAAAACTCACATTTCTTTACACATCTTTGTCAGTCTTCGAGACACTCACGTGGAGTATTGGACCGGAAGTGCAATACGCTGTTACTTCCGGAACAAGTAGAATGTTACCTTTCTGGGGAGGTACTAGCCCTATGTTAAAGCGTTTTCGAATTGCTGTTCTCCTAAACTGTAAAGTTCTGTCTGGGCTGCCATTACCTTCCTACCTGCTTGTAGAAGAAATGTACTCATACCACTCCCAATGGCTTTTCTACAAAATCCAGCGCAATGGATGGAATTTAAAATGGACTATATTTAGTCGTCCCCCCACGAGGGTGTCATGTGGCACAAGGCCCTTTTAAGGTGGGCATTCCCGAGCCATTAGGCTCTGCCAAAAAATAGCCCATTTGAACCCGTATAAATGTGTTCAGGGCCGGTTTTACCTCCCCGAAGGAGACTCCGCCCTTCGGCGTAGCCTCCTTCGGGTTCCTCTCCGTCCGTAGACAGAGAGTTGAACCGAACCGTCGCTCAGAATGTGAACGACGGACAAGTGATTTTCCAAGCGTAGCTTGGATGTGGCACAAGGCCGAAAGTAAGAGGCACCCAGTGAGGATCGAACTCACTACTTAGTTGTAATTGTTCTAGCGAAACAAGCTTGCTAACCGTTACACCACCTCGAGGTCCCTGGAATTTAAAATAGACACACTCATCTTAAGTTTTGTCCCGATTAGAGCTACTCCCACAGACAAGTCATAAAATTCTGCGTATCTAATTCGGCGACTGAATTCATAGCAAGTTTATTTTAAATGCTCATTTTTTATTTTTTTGACATCTTTTATAAAATGACAACGCACTGGCTCAATAACATATAACCGACCCAGTGTTGAATCCCAAGAGTAAAATCGAAGTGTTTCAACGTTGAAAGTGATGGAAAAGTGATATTTCTTTTATATGAATCAATATAACGAACATTTTTTTATAATATAAACATCACGCCAAGCCTGAAAACTGCTTCTTTTCAGTTTAACTGAAGGGATAGATAGATAGATAGATAGATAGATAGATAGATAGATAGATAGATAGATAGATAGATAGATAAAAATAAACAGATATGTAGAGATAGGGTGGGGAGAAATTAAGATATGAAGAAAATATCATAGATAGATAGATTTTTTTATAATATAAACATCATGCCAAGCCTGACAACAGCATCTTTTCATTTTAACTGAAGGGATAGATAGATAGATAGATAGATAGATAGATAGATAGATAGATACTTTCGATCTATTCGCATAATTGTAAAGTTAAAATATCGGTTATTTAAATCAAAACCTTCTTAATTCGATTTTAGTAAATAAATGTAAAATAAAATTTTAAATAATTGATTTTGAAGCTGTTTACCTCAAAATTTAACCTTGCCGAAATTATATTTCTTTTGAAAACTAGAAAATCTTTTGAATGACATGACTAAACATCTTGTTTATCAAAGCGTGTTTGCTTCCTAAATCTATTTTCCCCAAAAGCGACGTTTATATCCATACAGTACCCTATTAAGCAGCTGCAGGTTTTAAACTTTGCTTTGTAAAATAAATATTTATGACACCTTTCAAGGTAAGTGAATTATCTTTGTTCGACTAAAATTGGAGTCATCTATTGGCCTCGTCTTAGACTGGTCAAGCTCACCTGGTCTTACTGTTACATCCGTTAGACCCGTCGAAAAGATTGCCCCCTAAAGATGAGTGGTCCCGGACATTGATACAAGACCTCGATACCATTTTCTTCAAGCTAGTGACAGTTGAAGACATGCGTTGTTCAAGTTTCTAATTGATTTCAATGGCGATCAACAATCTTCTCTTGTTACGTTCTCCTGGCGTATGTGCTCCATTTTCCGATCGAGGTATCTTTCACTCAAGAGTATTCGTTCCCAAGTGGGCAATGTATATACAGCAACTAGACGAGGACGATCATGGCTGTATATTTCTTTTTTCTGTCTTTTACTATATTCCCTAAGTGTTCTGTCAGTTTTAATTGTTCGTATTGGTAATATTATACGATTCCTTAAAAGGTAACATTCGGCCCCCATTGACCGAACAACCAGTGATACTCTAGTTATATATTTACTTATATGTTGGACATCGACCTAAGATCAAAGCTTTTATCTGTCCAGCTTATCTCTAATGACTGGAAATGCGGATAGAGTAAAGGAGGTCTTGCTACGTTTCTGTTTGTGGTATAGGGATTGTGGCAGAAAAACAATTCATCACTCACAGGGCCATGTAGACGCTTTTGAACTCTAACAAGGTTGGACGACCGGCCCCAGCCAAGATATGGCAAGAGTACTCCATTTTTATTAGGACGCAATAGATACTACCATGTGGATTCGGGTACTTAATGTGAGATTGGTTATTTAACTCATTAAACTGATTGTCGAGATTAGCGCTTCGTAAACTATGGGTCGTGATCCCAAATGGGGTCGCGGAAATTAAATTCAAACACTTCAATTCGCTGGGGAATCGGGTGATTCAAACTTGAAAACTTGAATTTCGAAGAAAATCTTTGAGTGAATTCTGGATCGGAGCTAAAGCTGAACTTCTCACAACTTCTGAAATGGCGCTACATGTTCTTTTGTCATTTAGCACTACATATCTGTGTGAAATGACTTTTCCAGTATTAACTCTTTTAAAACCGAACATCGTTTAACGTTGAAAAACGTAGAAGACGCTTGACGTAGTGGAAAATATTACAGCAACATTTCATTTGTTATGGAGCTAAAAAAAAGAAAAAAAAAGAAAGAAAACAAGCACATCCGTCGCATTCATTTTTACTTTGTTTTTTTTTTTTGATTGTTTTGTTTTAATTTTTTTTAATTTGGTTTCTTTTTTTTTACTTTAGTTGGTTTTGTTTTTTGTTTTACTTTGGTTTATATTCTTTTAGTTTGGTTTATTTTTTTAATTTGGTTTATTTTTTTTACTTTGGTTTATTTTTTTTTTTTTACTTTGGTTTATTTTTTTTACTTTGGTCTGTTTTTTACTTTGGTTTATTTTTTATTTTGATTTATTTTTTACTTTGGTTTGTTTTATTTATTTTTTTTACTTTGGTTTATTTTTTTACTTTACACCCACACGCTTACACGCTTACATACATCATACTCATTCACTCCCTAAAAACCAAATAACACACACACGCTTAACAGAGACACATCCTCCTTTCCAGCAAACAATAAAACTGTCAAAATGACCATGGGAATTCAGAGCAGCATGAATCCATCCAGCTTTTATCACAAATAACAACTTAAAAGAGACTGTTTGACCAACACAAGTGCCGACTAAAATTCATGTTTCAAAAAATAAAAAAAGCAAATGAAAACTAGAGACAGAAGTTCATCTTCTCCATGAAGACATTCATTTCTGTAGTTCACTCCTACCAGCAAGCAAAATCTTTTTTCTCCTGACGATGTCCATGTTGGCCGAAACTAGTCGAGGAATCTAAATGAAACAATAATAAAAACGAGAGAATATTAATATACAACCCAGTGTGTCTGAAGATTTTAATTTTTAATATTTTTTTATTGTTCAAAATATACACATATATATATATACATATACACACATATATATATATATATATATATATATATATATATATATATATATATATATATATATATGAAAAAATAGATGGACGTAAAAGGTTTAATGTTCGATGTATTATTATCGTTATGCTTGTTCTCGTCATTGTGTCGGTTGTACTCCTGTGTTTGCCTCCAGATGACGTGACGCGTCTAAAAGGATTCTCATCGAACACAATTTAAAAATTGAATGATTCTCTTAAAATGGTATTTAAAATATCAGAAACAAAGTGCAAAATAAAGTGAATAAAAAAGAAGACAAAAATAGGCATACATAAAAAGAATCCGAGCAGAACGAAAACAAGAAAGTTTTCGGAAGGATTTTCGAAGAAAGTCGGAGTATGGATTAAAAAAAAGTTTAATTTCAATTACAAGTGAAGAAAAAAAAGAAAGAACTTTAAGATGAATTAATACATAATTATTGAAATAAAAGAAAGGAAGAGCGAAAGAAAGTAAGTAAGAAATAAATAAGGTAAATGTAAAGAACGTAAGAAATATATAAATAAATAAAAAAGTGAATGTGCCAAAAAGAAAGAAAGAAAGAAAGAAATCGAACTAAAAAAGAAAGAAAGAAAGAAAGAAATAAAGAAAGAAAGAAAGAAAGAAAGAAAGAAAGAAAGAAAGAAAAATAATACATATACAGAAAAGAAAGAAACAGAGAAACAAATAAAAACATACGAGATGGATCGAGGCGAGAACGAAAGAAAGAGGTCAAAGCATTGAGAAAAGAAAGAAAGAAAGAAACAAACAAACAAACAAACAAGTTAATGGACGGGAAATTTTTTTTTTTTTTTTTTTTTTTTAAAGAAAGAAACAAACAAACAAACAAACAAACAAACAAACAAACAAACAAGTTAATGGACGGGAAAAGAAAGAAAGAAAGAAAGAAAGAAAGAAAGAAAGAAAGAAAGAAAGAAATTAAGGCAGTGGAAGAACAATAAAAGAAAGAAAGAAAGAAAGAAAGAAAGAAAGAAGGAAAGAAAGAAAGAAATAGACCGAAGACAAAAATGTGACTATAAAGAAAGTATAAAAAAAAAAGGGAAAAGAAATGAAAGATACTACATTAGAAAGCAAAATAATAGAAAGTTAGAAAAGAAAGAGGAAAGCAAATAATAACATGATCAATATAACCTAAACCCCATACACCTAAATGAAGGCCATTAAAAAAAAATGATGTAAAAAGAAAAAAGATCTTTGGAAGAAGTTTGAGTCCAATGCAGAAAGATGAACATAAAAGAAAAGCCGACAAAAAAAAATACAGAAAACTCTGAAAATGAGATTTGCCACCCCACCCTCACCAAACAATCTTTCGTCGTTTCGTACGTGTATGCGCTTTTCACTTACGAATTGGTCAGCGAAGGTTCAAAACTGCGCGTGATTTTATGAATGAATTCTTTTGCTGCACAGTGGAACTCTCTCCGTAAGAAGTCCGTAAATGCTGATTGAAAATGTCAAACAAATCGTCCAGTTATTTTTAGAAGTATATATTTTTTTCTGTGTATATTCAATGGATGGCCCGTGATTTCGAGTGGATATCAAAGCGGATGTACTTCCCTTGTCAGTAAATCTCATCCTTGTTCTGGACGATCTATTTTCTTTTCTTTTACTTTATCTTACGTTTTGTTATTCTTCCTTCCTTCTTCCATTATATCAAGCCGTCCATTCTCTATCTGCTAATGACATATCTCTTCATCTGCTTAATCAACTAAGTAGTTCTATATAATCATACACCAAATGTTTTGGTATTTTTTTTTATATCATTTTCAGAATTTTATTAATGACCCAATTTTAAATACATACATACATACATACATATATATATATATAACATATTCATGCCAAATATATAAAGTGCCAAAAATTTTTTTTAAGGGGCTACAGAGGATTGAGATTTGTCGTTAAAGATGGTATGTTTGAGGAAAGGATAAAATTTTTAAACAAGCTCAGGGTTAATGTCGATTGATATTACAGAATCATATTTCAAGATTTTAGTCACCGTTTGCAAGTAAGGGGAGAAAGTTCCACAGATGAGAAGTGCGGGAGAATAAGCAGTTTGAAAGAAGAGATCACACAATGTTGGTTTTGACAGTTTTTCATAAAAAACCGAAAAACCAGTCTTTGAGCATTTTAAATTCATTTTAGTAAATCAGCGAAATTGATTGATAAACTATATATATATATATATATATATAATATAATTAGTGCAATTTAAAATATGATTCCAAAACGCGACATAAGAATTTCTCATGTTTCAAAACAAGAGCCGAAAAAAGATTATTTAAATTAAATTGAGATAAAAACAAATCTGTTATTTCAAAAATGATAATCAAAAATTTTTTTTTTATTCCAAAAAAAAAAATCGCTTGAAGATTGAACATGATTTACTTTAATTAGGAATAATTCAAATAATTATATTGAAGTTTTCGGCTCAAGATGTTTTGAAACATGAGACTTTTTATGTCGCGTTTTGGAATCATATTTTTAAATAAATAATTATATTTATGCTCTAATTTTGTATCGAGCACTATTTTTTGAAATAATAACTAAAATACTAAGGGACTTTTAGGATTATTTACCTAACCAGTTCCTTCCTATTTTCTCTATATTTTATATAATATGTATATATATATATATACTGAACATTAAAGTAAACTATACTCTGGATTTTGTTTTTGCTAAAAATCGATTTATATATACATTTGAAACAGAAATAATCGCCTCTAAGGTTTAATTCAATTCTTCTTTTACACACGCTCTATCTCAATTGTTTTTATCCCACAAAATATAGCACACCTTAAACTATATTTCTTCATATATATATGTGTGTGTGTGTGTGTGTGTGTGTGTGTGTGTGTGTTGATAAGTGTTCGTATAATTAAATGTGTTGATATGTGTAGGTGGTAATCTGCTATTTATAAGTATATACATGTGTATGTATATGTATACGTTTATATATGTGTATTTACTTGCATGTATTTGTATGTGTGGGTACATATGTATATGTCTGTGTTTGTGTGTGTATAGATATGTGCATATGTGTCCTACTATACATGGTTAAATGGGTTATAACTGATCTAATATTACCTTTTTAATCATTATTGCCGCTCTATCGTTATTCCTCTCATTGGTAATATTATTATTATTATTTTTATTATAATTATTATTATAATTATTTCTACCCATGAAAAAACATCTTTTATATTTCGTGTTTATTTATTTTTTTTGACTCTTAAGATTTTTATGTAAATTTAGTTTTTACAAATTTTTTGTTAATAGTTATGTGAATATATATATATATATATATATATATATATATATATATATATATATATATATATATGTGTGTGTGTGTGTATGTGCATTTCTAAGCTTACACATCATATGTGTTTATATGCATGTATAAAATGTTGTGGAATTTATGGTTTGTATGGATATTATTTAATATATATATATATATTTATATATATATATATATATATAAACTGGAATTTATATACATATATATATATAATTTAGGATGGAATATATATATATATATATATATATATATATATATATATTTTATATATATCTTACAACATATATATATATATGTGTGAAAGTTTTGTCTTGTGTGTTGTTTTATTTTTATATAAAAATGGTCTTTTGTGTGTTCAATGTATACACTATTAGAAAATATATATTATGTATATTTATTTATATGATTATGTGTCCAATTATGTGTGTATTTTTATTCAAAAATATTTTGTGTATATATGTATAAGTATATTTTATGTATATATATATATGAATGTATTCATATTAAAATATATATATATGTGTGTGTGTGTAGACAAAACTATGTGTAAAGATCCGATATACTAGATGATGGCCAATATGATTTATATATTTTTAAAAAATGAATGAGATTTAGGTCCCTCTTAAATATTTATATATATATATATATATATATATATATATATATATATATATATATATATATATATATATATGTTTATATAGGAATTTTTGTTTTATACTATATATATATATATATATATTTTATATATTATATATATATATATACAAATCAAATTTTAAAAAAATATATAAAATTTCTTTATAGATATTTTATTTTTACAAAAATTCATCTCAATGTAAATGAATTCATGATAAATATTAATATTATAAATTAACTGATTTAAAATATAGAAGTGATCATTTTTTTTTTTAAAATGGAAGGTCCAAATTTAATTTTGTAATTAATTGGACCTTCCATTTTTTTTCATGATGATTTGAACTGTCCCATTGGAAAAACCATATTTTAAATCAATTAATTTATAATATATATATATATATATATATATATGATATATATATATATGAAATTTGATTTAATTTTGTATAATTTCCCTTTAGAATAAGTTTACAAACAACATTACTAAACAACTTTAATTTATTATTTTTATTATTATCAATATGTTTTTATCAATTTTTGAATACTTCTTTTTTATTTTATAGTTGTTTTGAATTTTCAATTTTAGAGTTCAAATTTTAACTTTTATTTGTAGTTATTAATATTATTATAATATTCATATTCTTTTTATTTTATTTTTCTTGTATTTCATTTTATTTTGTTATAATCTTTAAAAATGTAGAAGCGTTATTGTAAATTATATTAATTTATATTTTTTAAAGTAACCGCAATATGCCTCGATATGATAATTTTTTCTTCCTTTTCTTCTTTTCCCCTCCCCACCCACGCTTCCCTATTTGTTTTCTTTTATATCTCTTATCACTTTTCTTCCCTTTCCCCTTTGGTTTTTTGTTTCTTTTCCTCTTCCTGTAAAAAGATTTCTTAAATAAGTTAAATGTCTGACACCTTACCCTATCACCCTTTACTCTTCTTTCTTTCTTTTTATGTCCCATGTCTTTTTCTTGGCGGAGGCGATCATGGCTTTCCACCACCCTCTATTGCTTGCAGTTCTCAACAAGTTCCTTCATTTGCCACCTTTCCCAGACCACATTCTATCATCCACTTGTTAGGCATCTTAATAAAGATAGATTTAAACATATTCCTATCTCTCCCTTCCCTCTCAAATTTCGATCATGTCTGTCGTCCTCCTCGCCACTCTTTTTCACCTTATATCAACTTAAAACTACTTCTCAAAAACTTGAATAAAAATAATACGTAAATTTTTAAACCATTTTCTTTTATGCTTGGAAATGTGATCAAAGAAAAAGTACCTTTCAGGAGGAAATAAAATATAATCAGTGGACCCTTAAGGTTGTCTGTTTTTTAATTAAACTTATATATATATATATATATATATATATATAAATGAAATGTATTAAGACCGACAGTTATTTAATATATTTTCTGTTTATACATTAATATTATAGATATAATCAATTTAAGTAAATGGTTTGTTTCTTTTTTTTAATTCGAGGAATTTTGTAGAAAGTAGTCACTCTTCGACATGAACTAAAACCTACAAAGCCATTAAATAATCGTCATTTAATCTGGAGGTACTCAAACCATTCAGCATCAGAGAATCGTCTGGTTGCAAAAATCTCTCTTAATATATATATATATATATATATATATATATATATATATATATATATATATATATATATATATATGTATATATATATATATATAGATTGATAGATAGATAATGATAGATATGATGATGACCGGAGGACCTGTTGAAAGTACTTGCATATTTAGGGAACACCGAATACAGTTTAGTCGAGGTTCTTTTTTCCCCGTCCTCATATTTTCTCTCCGTGCGAATTGTTGTGAATTTTTGTTCATTGAATGTTTATCAATGTGTTCTTCTGGCGTTATGCTGTTCTAAAGGGATCCTTTAAGAAAGAAAAATGCTTTACGTTTTGTTTTGTTTTTTAAATTTGTGGCGTTAAGTTTGCATAAAATAGTAATTGCTGCCCAAATACACAATTATTAAAGTACATGACACGATAACTAACAAAGAAAGTAACATTACAATACATAAAAAAGTTGTTTTACGACAAATAACAAAATCTAAAAAAGAAATCCAACGTTTAGATAATGAAATCCAGAAAAATAATGCGATAGTAATATACCTTGACTGAACTCGTATATAATGAAGTACAATACCATAAAAACAAATGTATA